GTATTCATCTTAACTCCAAGGAAACACACAACTTTCAAGTGATTCTCCCCTCATTCTATAAAATTCTTTAAAAAGCCAGCTTGCAAGATCCCATTAGCTCCATTCTTTGTTGAGATTGTGGGTGTCCTTAGTACCTCTCAGCTTAGATTTGAAACAAAACACCTCCGAGACTCATAGATTCTCCGGGACCTTACCAGGAAGAGTTTTCCTCTTGGTGTTCCTAGGCTGAACTCAGTTTTGCAGGGAACTATTATTTTGTGCATCTTACACACGGTTAGGTGTTGAAGTTCTGGCGAGGGGCTTACATGAAAAAATGTTTACGTGAATGTGTGTGGATCATGTGGATGAGGGAATGATGTCCTATGGGATTCTCTTGGATGATATGTATTCAGGGACAAAGGACCAGTTCGAAGTAGTTGGGATGAATCTATCTATAAACAACTTACATATTTAACCAACCATGCTTAACAGATATAGATCCGAATGACCAAGATAATGTGTAAAATGCCTTTTATTTCCTGGGTCAGGAAGGGTGAGTGAAAACATTCACGACATAGTAAGCTTTTTTTTTTTTTTTTTTTAAACGCTTATTTATTTTTGAGACAGAGAGACAGAGCATGGACGGGGGAGGGTCACAGAGAGAGGGAGACACAGAATCTGAAACAGGCTCCAGGCTCTGAGCTGTCAGCACAGAGCCTGATGCGGGGCTCGAACTCACGGACTGCGAGATCATGACCTGAGCCAAAGTCGGATGCTTAACCGACCAAGCCACCCAGGCACCCCACGACATAGTAAGCTTTAAGGAGGCGACACTTCAGTGGTTTCCTTCCCAAGCCAGGGAGATTTATTCATTCATTGGTTAATCCAGTAAATTAGGTGGTTGGTGATATGGAGATGAATAAGACATATTTCCTACCTCAAAGAACTCAGTCTAGTAACAGACACATATTTAGATAATTTTAACATGATCTCGTAAGAGAGAAGTACATTCGATTTTATGAAACTGTTTCAGGGGCGCCTGGGTGGCGCAGTCGGTTAAGCGTCCGACTTCAGCCAGGTCACGATCTCGCGGTCCGTGAGTTCGAGCCCCGCGTCGGGCTCTGGGCGGATGGCTCAGAGCCTGGAGCCTGTTTCTGATTCTGTGTCTCCCTCTCTCTCTGCCCCTCCCCCGTTCATGCTCTGTCTCTCTCTGTCCCAAAAATAAATAAACGTTGAAAAAAAAAATTAAAAAAAAAAAAAAAAGAAACTGTTTCAGAAGGTAGGGAATGAGGGAACATATCAGAGAAAGCTTTCTGAAGGCACTTACATCTGAATTGGTTTTTAAAGAATCAGAATGAGTTTTGCTGGCTGAGGAAGGAAAGAGAGATGGGTAAGTGGGACTGTTGAGGCAGGGGTGTGGTGAGTAGATGGTGACATTCCAGGGGAAAACTAGCATCATCCTAGATATGAAGAAGACATGGAATCAAGACTTATGTTCTGCCAGTGCTTATTTGAAGTGCTTATTAGACATCTGTAGAAATGTCAAGCAGGCAGGTAGAAGTGTGTGTCTGCAGTTTCAGGGTGGGGACAGCGCTGGAGATGTAGATTTGGCAGGGACTGGTATATACATGGTATTTACACCTATAAATACTCGATGAAGTTGCCTGGGACAGAGAAGCATATGCAGGGCAGAGACCAGGAAGACATATCATCCTAACATTTAGAGGCTGGTCTGGGAGAAGGAGCTAGCGCCCTGAAAGGGGTGTATAGAGAGACTGGAGGTAAACCAATCCTGTCACACGCAAAAAAGGGTCTCAAAAAAGCATGGGATGGTTAGTGGTTCCAAATGCTGCTGGGAAGCAGAGAAAGAGAAAACCAAAGTGAACCATTGGAAGATCATTAGTGACCTTGGTGCCTTTTCATGAAATGGTAGGGACAGAGCCCTACTACAGTAGCAACCCTTGTCTTTGGGCTAATAGGTATTTGGGCCTCTCTTCCCAAGAGCTATTCAGAAGAAAGGGAGGCAGCTTGTGGCCTGCTGAAATTACTGCTTAGGGTCACTGATCCTTGATTACTGGACCCATCTCAGCTTGTCCCAAGATTCCATACAATGTTCTTAGAACAGTACCCAGCACATAGTCCTATATGAACTTGTTGTAATTATCTCAGTTTCTAGGCAAGCCTTACCGGCTTCCCAGAAGAACAGATCATTTATGTAGACCAAATCATTTTTCAGGAAGTGTGAATATACCAATCTTACACGTGACAAAAACTGAAGAAAATGGCTTATGTATAGGGGTTCCAATCCTCTGGTTTATTGGTCTAGTCCCTCATTCTCTCTTTGTCTCTCCCTCTTAGTTCTGATTGAGGCTCACTGGAGAGCCTAGGATTGAATTATTAAACAAGGGCAGAGAACGTAAAAAGGAAAACAAGTAATAAAAGGCAGATGCAGAGAAATGCATTTACAAAATCAGCCAAAATAGAAGTACATACAGCACAGTGCATTAAAGTTTTGTACCTGTTTGTACAGGTAGCTGAAAGATGAAAATACAGGGTGGGTTTTTAGTTTGGGTTTGTTCTTCGGTTAAGTGAGAAATACTAACATAGCAATGGAGGAATAATAATACAATGGTACAGCTTTTTTGAGTGGAGACATTTTGAGACTTATTTTACAACTGAACTGTTCTGGAAATCAAGAACAAGGTAGAGAGTGGAGATAATGGAGAGAAGGTGTAAATAATTAGAAACTTCCCCTTGGTCTCTCAATGCCTGACCACTCCTTTCAGCCTTAAGGTCAAATTCTGGATATTTTTACAGATATTTTTCACGTGCAAAGTAGAAATCTGTCTCCTTGGAGCATCGTGGGGATTAAGGGAGATCTGCAAAGCGTCCAGTTTATAGTGAGTGCATCATTAATGCATCTTTCAATGACGTACATATACATCTCCTTTTGGCTGATGACAAGTGTTTCCTGGTCGTTTTCCTTATACCTCTTAACTACTGAAGATGCTTTCAATACAAATCTAATAATAACAGCAGCAAACATTTATCACGTATTCTAAATCACTTAATCTTAGAAACAATCCTATGAGGTAGGATTGTTACCCGCATCTCATCACGGCCTCACCATGTGGCAGCCTGGCTTCGGGGCCCAGTTCTTTCCTCAACCACCGCTTCCACTTTTTCGGCAGGACAGACCTGGGCCGCTTTTTTCGGCCATGTTCTGCTACTAGCAAACTCAGTTTTCTGTTCAGAAAACACTGAACCGCTTTCAGTCGCCAAGGGCTCTTGCCTCAGTTGCCGGAGCCCATCAGAAGGTAATTTATTTCACCCAGATGGAACCAGCCCAGCTGCGTCTTTCTCAGACCCAGGAACTGTTCCCCTGGCCGAGCCGCAAGT